GAGAGAGACTGCAAACTAATAGGCTAATAGGCTTGAGAGAGACTGGAAACTGCGACACGACAGAAAAAAGGTAAAACTATAGCTGGCTAGCACAGCTAGCCCGCTAAAAAGGAATAAAAAAGACAGATCACTACATTCATTTAAGTTATATTGCAGATCAAAAGGTTGAATTATGGTCATTTCCTAAAAGTTACATAGTCATTAGTGTGCACTCTGGCTGGTCAAACATTTTGTATGGTTAAGCATGTGCAAGTACCAGTAATAATGACCTTGAGCAATTCTGACGGGACAAATTACCAAACAAAGGATGTGGGCAAATCATTTTAGTCTTGGTAGTATGTGATGCTATTGCGCAAATGACCTATTACTTGAATTCGTTAGCAGAAAAATGTCAGGGAAAGACACTTGAGTCAGGCCTCAAAATAACGGCCGGTTAGTGACCGGACATGATGACTGTTCAAATACAATTTTGACCAGACATGTTCTATAGTTTTGACCGGACAAAAATGGAAAAAAAAAATGAATCATAAAAACTTGAATTAAAACATGATATTATTCATACAAAAAACAGAGTTTATTGGTATTAAAGGGACATGGTCCACCAGCATCCCTTTCGAGCTATTGTTTATGTTTGAAAATAGAAATACATCGCAATATAAGGGCAGTTCCATGCGAGAACAAGCAAAAAGTGAAAAAATAAATTGACTTTGGCAAATATCTATATTGGCCAATTTGTAGTGGTATACCTAAACCTTTGAAAAAATAATGCAAATCGGATTGTGCTACTTGTGTACTTAGGGGGGGTATGTTTTTTTAAATTACCCCCAAAATGACAAGAACAAAATTGTTTTAATTGTTCAAAAAGCTTAAAAAGTTTAATCAATACAAAAATTTCTCATCATACTAAAGTCAATGGTGTGTACTTTACAAATAAATTAGCCTTTTTATCAAAAAAATGCAATATTGCATTAATTATGATGGCAGTCATAAATTTTGTCATGGACGTTGGTATCCGGTGATCTCGCCCCCAAGTGATCTCGCCCCGTGATCTCGCCACCATATATAAGTGATCTCGCCCCCACTTAGTTATTGATATATAATATATATGCAGTCGTAATGTTATTTTGCTATGCAAAATATAAACAAGTTAGCTATCGTTAACTTTTAGTTTTTCAGGCCTATATGAACAAATTTCAGTGAAATTTACTACGAACGACTACGAACGAGTAGCTGAGTAAGCRGTTGAATTCGAAACAATAAAACATCAATCCCAAATATTATTTTTCATAACCTTGCACTTAAAAGAAAGAAATATAATGTCAAATAGTTCCAATCTAACGTATTTGGACTTGATAGTGTTTGTAGCAAACAGAGGGCAAGCGAAGTTTTAGCGTAATCTATTTCCGATTCGAAGTGATAATTCGAGCAATACTGTAGTTTGTCTTTCACTATGAACGAGTACTGGGTGGTTGAAATAAAACTTCAAACAAAGATAATATTTTTCCATAACCTGTAACTTAAAACAAAGTTAGTAATATAACTTGACAAATAGTTTCCAATCTAACGTATTTGGACTTGATAGTGTTTGTAGCAAACAGAGGGCAAGCGAAGTTTAGCGACGTATGTTTCCGATTCGAAGCATAGTTACTCTAGACTATTAACTATGTTCGAAGTGATAATYCGAGCGATACTGCAGTTTGTCTTTCACTACGAACGAGTACTGGGTAGTTGAAATAAAACTTCAAATTGAGATATTTTCCACAACCTTATAATACAATGTCAAATTGYTCTAATCTTGATTGTGTTTGTATCATAGAGGGCACGCTTAGTAACCGTAGTTTGTTTGTTTGTTTCCTTTTTGTGCTATCAAAGACAAWTGTATWGACCTATCATGAAATAATAGATTTTCTTCTTAGTTTAAAAGAAAATTCAATTTGAATTATGTRACGTCCATGAGAAATTGGTCATGAACGTTACATCATGGACGTTACATTCAAGATAACCTTTCTGATTTTTGAGAGTTTCATTTGAATAAAAATTTAGCACGTTCACACTGCATGTTTCAGCAGCTGGAGAATCCTTCATAAAAAGCAAGAAAAAAATAAATGCCACGAAAACAGCGAAAGAAGTGTAATTTCTTTATTACCATTATTAAGTTAGACTAAGGATATTGAAATGTGTTTGATATTTGTAAAATTCGAACATCTAAAGACTTTTTCAATTTCATAATGCTGGACAGGATTAAACCCAATATGTGAAGTCTTTAACACACAGTCACAAGAGAAAACTAGTTTCGTCCCAGATTAGACCTTTTCAATTCCTAATTAAGTTTACAATTTGTACGTTTGGATTTCTACGATTTTTAAACTAATCGCGCGCTCTGTAGAAAGCGCACGCTAATTAGACAGCTATGACAATGTTGTAATCATAAATGTAGTCATAGCTGTCTAATTAGCGCGCGCTTTCTACAGAGCCAGCGAGATTAGTTTAAAAATCGTAGAAATCCAAACGTACAAATTGTAAACTTAAGGAATTGAAAAGGTCTAATCTGGGACGAAACTAGTTTTCCTTAAAATAAAGTTTCTTGGCGTGACTGTGTGTTAAAGACTTCACATATTGGGTTTAATCCTGTCCAGCATTATTATTGAAATGCATTCCACAAAAAATGAGAACGAAATCTTTGAAATATCATATCGAATATTCTACGCCTTCGACGTTTCGTGGACATTTGACGGCTGGTTCTTAGGGATCATCGTTCAATAAACAAGTAGAATCGCGTCTAAGATGCTATTTCCTCTATTTCCTTTCTTCGAATTGCATTTTGTATTCATTAAACAGTGTTTTCTATAAAACTTATATCTGTCTGATAGTCTTCATAGTAGAATATTGATGCCCGAGAATCGTTCGTTAAGCTTATATTAACAGTCGACCTGAATCCRCTGTAGTAGTTATTTTGATAGTTTTTTTATTTAACAATTAGACCTCGAGGTCGAGTGGACTACGAGCTAATAGCTCATGAGGCCGAGTCCNTTATTCCTATATGTGAAAGAATTCTTGTAAGTAGCTACTTTTTCATTTCATCATACACCACTCGATTGTCCACGGTCAGTTATAATTTGTTTTACTATCTGTCATAGAAGACTGCCTATAATTTCAGGTATTTCAATGTCAGATATGATATCCCAGTGTTGTCCAATCTTGTGTCTGCTATTTTTGGAAACAGATATTATATCCGTCCTCTTCCAATCATAAAAGCATATGAGATAATGAATACTGTATTACAGTCAAACAAGGTTAAGTGCATGTGTACAAAGCTGTCAAGCTAAATTCAGGACAACATTGAGGCTTCAAAGAGAGACATATTTTAATACTTCTACTCATGTCTACTATGAACTCATTTTTATAACTCATTTTTAAATGTTGTATGATTTGTTTTCGTGTTTTGCTTTGCCTGTGGATTGAAATATTGTGTACTTAAGGTTGAAATTATAGGAGACAATTTCATTAAGCTATTCTTTGTTGCAACTCATAAATACTTGTCTACTGAAAGCCCTTTATTACTGATATCACTGCTCGTATTTTTGTTTGCTCTTATTGAGCAGTCGTATATAGATCGCGTACTATAAAACGCATTTTCTTTTGATATTTGCAAACAGAGTCCGATGTCAGGAAATTTAAGCCATTAAGATTGATTTGATTGTTTTTTTGTAGATTATTCTTACAGTTAGTACAGGAAAATGCAATGCAATATCAAGACAGTGGAAATGTTTTTAAAATCCATATGTTTGATTCTTTGCAGCCTCTGCTTTGAAATGTAGCAAAGCCTTTTTTGGCGGTAAATCAAATGAACACGTGAATACGAATCATGCCGTTCGATTTTCAACTAATACGACTAATAAATCAACGCAAACTAAGACTCTGCTTTGAACTGTAAATGGTCACGGATTAGTTGTGCTACTAACTAGAAAGTTTTGGCGCTAAAACAAACGTCAAACGATCGCGTGAATGTGAATCATGCCGTTCGGTTTTCAACTAATACGACTAATAAATCAACGCAATCTGAGACTCTGCTTTGAACTGTAAATGGTCACGGATTAGTTGTGCTACTAACTAGAACATTTTGGCGCTAAAACAAACGATCGCGTGAATGTGAATCATGCTTCTCGATTTTCAACTAATACGACTAAATCAACGCAATCTGAGACTCTGCTTTGAACTGTAAATGGTCACGGATTAGTTGTGCTACTAACTAGAACATTTTGGCGCTAAAACAAACGATCGCGTGAATGTGAATCATGCTTCTCGATTTTCAACTAATACGACTAAATCAACGCAATCTGAGACTCTGCTTTGAACTGTAAATGGTCACGGATTA